ATGAAATTATAACTCCCCTTTTTAAGTAGTCTTGTATAATGGGCTTAATTCCAGCTAGTGCAGCAGGTCTTAAAGGATATTGGTGAATATTAAGTAGAGGCTAAGTATTATGAATAGTTATTTTAATAGGAGTGGCTGAGTTGATCTTGCCAATATATCTGTACTGGAAAGGGCCAAAAGTAGCATTGGAAAAAATGTTCAGTTTCAAGATTATTTTCCTCAGGTGGAAGTTTCTTTAAAATAATTATTTTCCCAATTGGTTCAGTATCTGATTCATTTAGTTCTAAATACATTTCACCCTTCCAGAAAAAGGGTATGTGGACATCATGGGTTTCAAGAAAATCTCTCCCTATCAGATGAATTGGGGCAAAATTCAGCCATTCTGTTGCCTGTTGCAGTAAAAATATGCTGCCCTGTAACATTCCCAGGTTGAAAGGGGGATAGGTCCTGATTTTAAAACAGTCATTGGTTTGTTAAATACCCCTACTATTTGCAGAGAAGCTTTACTCTGAGGAGAAGGCAACTTAGTTGGGTAGGGTTAAGAATGGATAAAGTACCACCAATATCAACAAGGGACTTAGTAACTTCCCCTTGTATGATCATTTCAATTTCTCTTAAAGGAGAAGTGGAAATACCCTCTCATAGTCCTTGAAACAGCCCTATGTTTGTTTTGTCTTTGTTAATACCATTTCAGTTTTCTACAATCCTTCTTTTAGTGGCCTGGCTTTTTCAGTAAAAACAGATCCTCTCCCCCCTTGGCTAAGAGACCTCTGAGTGGATCTGACTTGATTACTTAATTGTTGGAGCTGTAAGTTCATAATTTTGACAGCTTTATCTTTTTCTCTCCTTTGGGTAGTTTTAGATAGTTGATCAGCCAGAATAGCCAGTTCACAATGGTCTGCCAGTTTAATTTATGTTGTTTGATCAAAGCTACAAGCTCTTCATCTAGTCCTTCCAAATTTAGTAAGGTATAATTTTGATGATCCTTAAAACTGTCTGGAGACAGACCTGAGAATTGTTTGAAAGTTTTTCAGAATGTTCAGAGATATCAAGCACTGGTTCCTCATGCTTTCTTTTACATTGCTGGATCTTGGTCCAGTCAGTCCGTTTTCTGGGGAAACAACTCAGGCATGGCTTAGTAAAGCTGGTGAGCTAATTCTCTGCATTTCCCCCTGGTCTGTCTCTCACTATTTTAAGAAATCCTCTACAGGAGTATGCCAGCAAATCTGATTCAGCCATTCTGTTGCCTTGCTCTCAGAAACCAGTAGGTGTATTCACTGGGATAGGTCAGACTAGCCAGGATCACATGTTAAATAGTTAAATAAAATTCCTTTGCAAACCCATTGGGATCCTGGAAAGGGTAAGGAAAATCTTTACATTTCTTACTTCTGTTCTAGTCAAAGGAATATATACAGTCACTGGTTCCCCTCTATCCGAGAGGATTTTCCCTGAAAGGAACTGCCAGAATTCCTGAATTATCTTTCTCTGAATTTCTATTCTCCTTTCCCCCTAAGTCAGTAGGGCATGGTAGTGGAGGAGATTTAGAAGAAGAAATTAAGAAGGGAGGAGTAGGGCAAGTCTGCACAAGGAAGGGTATTGTGGAGGAGCTTTAGATGGGGTGGGGGGTCTTGGCCTTTATTGGCTTCAGAAGCCTTCTTTAGTTCAGAGACAGTCTCTAAAATTTTCTTATTAATTTCTTGTAGAGAAGATATTTTATTTGAGCTTCTCCTAGAAGCTTCTAATTTCCAATAAAGATAAGCTTCCCATTCATTCAGTTTCATTTTAGAGCCAGCTTTTTCTAATTGAGCACATAGAAAAAATCAATTTGGAGGTGTCAAGAGTTCCTCATTTTGGCCATTTCAAGCTAATATCATTTTAAAACTCTCATTTCTGTAGATACTCACAAATTGAGATTCCATGCAAATTGTGCATGTACCCTGCAGGAGTATTAACAGGGGGCTGGGATTCTTGGGGTTCATTTACCTTAGGCACAATCTCCCATTTTAACCTGTCTTTGGATATTTGCAGTCTGAACAAATTTTCTAGGGAGGTTATATAGTGGGCCAAAGTGTGCTACTTATGGGTCGAGCTCCACGAGGCTCTCAACCCTTACGTCACATTCAACCTTCTTATATGCCTCAGTTTCTCTCTCCAGCTGTCTGATACAGCCGTGAGGACTCAGAGTGCTAGGTGACCAACCTTTATATGTGTGTCCCCAGAGGAGTTAATTATTTAATTACAGATGAGTTGGAATTTTCCGAGGGCTTCTGCAGTTCATGAGGAATGCCCTCTGACACCTCCACAAAGATTCTTAGTCGCCTAAGAACACCCAAGATTCTGGCTGGAGGGAGGATGTGCCCCTTGGCTTCAGAGCCCGAGTTCAGGCTCTCATTTCAGCAAAAGTGTTTGTTCAGACTGCAGTTGAGTAATTCCAACAGAAAAGCCAAAATCAAAACCAGCCACCTGTCTCAACTTTTATCCTTTAGTGCCACCTCAAGGGTTTTCTAAGCACAGCTCAAATAAAGTCACTCTACCACAAGCAAGAGAAGGTCCTGAATCCCAGAGACAACTCACCTAAGTTAACCCAATGTGGACACCATGTTGGATCCTAGCACCAGGTCTGGGTCTTAAGAGTGGTCCTGGGTGAGCTTCTTTGGAATCCTGCTGCACTATGCCAAGTAAATGTAAACATAAGAAACATTCAGACCTGTAGAGAAGTTTTTAAGTTTGTGTGAGCCAAACTGACAATTGCTGGGAAGCAAAGTCTCAGTGGATTTATAGCCTAGGACATGACTACCCACCACGAACTGCTTTTAGTTAAAAAGTTTTGATTTCAGATCAACCTCTGTGGTTATTTTAGGTCTCTAAGTTTGTAAGGCCACCACACAGGCCTCCCCTGAGCTTGTCAGGTTTAGTATGTGGCCCCTTATCACCCATAAGACACACAAAAGTGCTTTCTTTTCCATTGAAAGTCACTCCTGTAATGATGCTCAATTCACCACTGGCCTTAGGTTTTATGACAACGTGTCTACAAGCACGGCAAAGAGAAGGCAGTGGCTGCTTTTCTCTTCCCATCAAATCACAGACAAATAGGCAGTCATGCAATACTGGAAGCTCAGTTGTCAGAATCTAGAATTACAGCAACTGTATTGGAAACTGGTGGCCAGAGATGTACACCTTCCACACGTTGTGAAAATGTAGACAGCCTAGCTGAACAAAATAAACTCACTGACAGTTCAGCGAGCTACACTGAAGCACATTTGCTGATGAGACCAACCATGGTGGGTCCTCAGGGCCAGAACTACATGCAAGACTGAGAGGATGTTAATGGTCACATCTAGATGTCCAGTGGAGTCAGCACTTGTGATTATCAAGGCCATTTCACAAGAGCTTATAGATCTGGCTATAGATACACACACACACACACACACACACACACACACACACACAGAAGTAAGTCTGTTAAGTACTTTGCTGAAAAGCAAATCTAGGGGTTCAATAGTGGCTATACTTGTTAGTATTAAAACTAGCACTTTAGATGAGATTGAATGAATCAGTAATGTAGATCAGGCCCTGGCCAGTATGGCTCAGTGGTTAAGAGTGTCCACCCATGGACTGAAGGGTCGTGAGTTTGATGGTTGATCAAAGGCATCAACCTGGGTTGCAGATTTGATCCCTTATGCAGGAGGCAGCCAATCAATGTGTCTCTATCACATAAATGTTCCTCTCTCTCTCCACCTCCCTCGCTTCCACTCTATCTAGAAAAAATTAATGGAAAAATATCCTTGGGTGAGGGTTAACAACAACAACAAAATAATGTAGATCAGAGTTCAGGAGATTTTCCTGTGTAGGGCCAGATAGTAAATATTTTAGTCTTTGCAACCTTTATGTTCTTTGTCGCATCTACTCAGGTCTGCCCTTTTGTGGAAGCTGCCCTAGACGCTACATGGAACATGAGTGTGGCTGTGGTCCTATAGACCTTTATTTACAAAATACTGGCAGACTACAGTGTGCCGATCCATGTTGTGGATAGTTTATAAAACACATCTTATTTTGCCTGGTGAAGAAAGAATCTGGTAGGCTGAGAAAGACCTGGGACACTGAGTTTGATTAAGCATCATGGTGTTTTCCGTTAGTTTTAGGTGGAGAGAACCAGTGCAATGGAACAAAGCATACAGATTATCTCAGGAAAGAGCTGTCACAGGGGGTATTGTTCCTTTTACAACAATGTTTACAAAACTGAGAAAAGCAGGTCTTGCATTGATGGGGGTCACCAGGTGCCAGAATCCTTTAAGGGGTTGCAGACCTAACAAGTTTTTGTTTCACCAGCGGGTCCCCACTTTCTGACAGAACCCAGCAAACACCCTCTAGGGAACACTTGTTTAGGATGGTGGCAACACCTTCTGGCTCATTCCTCACATGGAGCTCTGACCTTTCCTTTATACTGTCTCCCGATGGGCCTCCATGTATGACTACTTCTAAAGATCCCATTCCTTTCATGTCGGAAAACTCACTAAAGAAGCTTGTAATAAATCATATACTTTCAGTAAAAGCATATATATGCTATGGCAAAAGGAGGTTTACAGGTTTTTGTATGAAAAAAATACAAGAATAAATAATACTGGAATGAACTCTGTGTTTCACGTACTCACAACTGTAAACCTCCTGCCCCACCTGTATTGTGCGTAATGTTTATGTCAGTGTTAATGTCTGTGGATTGTGAGAATTGTACTGAGGGAAATGTGTAACTTTAATGTTAGCAACTTATAGGGCTGGAGCTGTCTTTGATTCTCTCTGGAAACTATTTGTCAGGCTGATAAGTTAGTACTGGCTTGTGAGTGTTTTGTGTTGCGACAGAATGCACATTAAGGTGTCACTGTAGGATGGAAGGTAGGTCTGTAAAGAAAGTCTTTCTGTGAACCTGAGGCCTGACTGCTGGGTAAGTTTCACTGTCCACAAGGTACCTGTGGGGACTGTGACGGAGACTTTCTCTCTAGCAGAACCAAGGACAGAGTTCCAGCCCAGTGTGTCCTGCCCAGTGGCCTTTTCCAGTCCACAGTCCCTCCGACAATATGTGCTGTGCGGTCAGCCCCCTGAGATTTCCCCACGCTCTTCTGTGGGATGTCACTTCCCCCTGGAAGCTCCAAGCTGCTCCAGCGAGAAAGCGGAAGATGGAGAGAGAGAGGGCTCTGGCACCGTGTCCGGGAGGCTGCAGCCGACTGGGACGTCAGGCATATTCTTTGGTCCATTTCAAGGTCAGCCAGTACACAGGGTGGAAGGCAACAGAGGTGGAGGAGCAGACCAGAAGAGGAATCCTGAGGTGGCAGACACAATGTGGACAAGGGCAGACCACTCAGACTCTGCAGCAGTTGTGGGTGAACAATATAAACAAGGACGCATCACATACTCGGGCCTATTTAGCCTCCAGAAACGTCATGTGTGTCGTGAATGTGGCCAAGGTTTCTGCCAGAGGTCAGACCTCCTCAAGCACCAGAGGATGCACTCAGGGGAGAAGCCTTACAGCTGTGGGGAGTGTGGGCGAGGCTTTGGCCGGAAGTCCTCCCTCACCATACACCAGAGGAAGCACTCCGGGGAGAAGCCGTACGTGTGCAGGGAATGCGGGCAGCACTTCAGGTATACGTCCTCACTCACGAACCACAAGAGGATACACTCGGGAGAGAGGCCCTTCGTGTGTCAGGAGTGTGGGCGAGGCTTCCGCCAGAAGATCGCCCTCGTGCTGCACCAGAGGACACACTTGGAGGAGAAGCCCTTCGTGTGCCCGGAGTGTGGGCGGGGCTTCTGTCAGAAGGCGTCCCTCCTGCAGCACCGGAGCTCGCATTCCGGGGAGAGGCCCTTCCTGTGCCTGGAGTGTGGGCGTGGCTTCCGGCAGCAGTCCCTGCTCCTGGTGCACCAGGTCACACACTCGGGGGAGAAGCCTTACGTCTGTGCTGACTGTGGGCACGGATTCCGCCAGAATGCCACCCTCATCAGACACCAGAGGACGCACACGGGCGAAAAGCCTTACCTGTGCTCTGAGTGTGGGCGTGGCTTTCGTCAGAAGGTCGCCCTCACGGGACACCAGAGGACGCACACAGGAGAGAAGCCCTACGTGTGTCCCGAGTGTGGGCGGGGCTTCGGTCACAAGGTCACACTCATCAGACACCAGAGGACACACACAGGGGAGAAGCCTTACATATGCTCCGAGTGTGGCCGCACCTTTGCCCTCAAGTCACTTCTCACCAGACACCAGAGGAGACACTTAGGGGAGGAGTGTGATGGAGATGGAGTGTGTGAGCAAAGACTCGGCCCGAAATCTGACCTCACCTCTGACCAGAGGTCACACTCGAGAGAGAAGTGGTGCGTGTGTGGTGAGTGTGGGCGCGGCTTTGGCTTCAGGTCAGCCCTCATCAGACACCAGCGGACCCACTCGGGAGAGAAGCCGTACGTGTGCAGGGAGTGTGGTCGTGGCTTCAGCCAGAAGTCTCACCTGCACAGACATAGGAGGGCCAAGTCTGGCCATCACCCGCTGCCACAGGAGCTGTTCCCCTGACCTTTCTGTTCCTTTCGCCACCAGTGTGAAGATGGCAGAAGACACTGGGAAATGTTCCGCTTCCCTCAAATGGTGGAGAGAAAAGTATGCATTCTTTCAGTGATAAGAGGTTGGTGTGTGGTTTTCACTCCTGCACCAGGAATGTGTTTTAACTTGCCAGGGCTACCATAATAAAATACCACAGACTTGGTGACCTGAACAGAAACATATTTTCTCACAGTTTGTGAGACTGGAAGTCCAAGATGAATGTGTAACCAGTTTGGTTTCTACTGAAGCCTCTCTCCTTGGCTTGCAGATGTGACTACATTCTTGCTGTGTTCTCATGGGTCTGTGCTTTCCTCATGTCTTGCCCTCTTGTAAGGACACCACCCATATTGGGTTAGGGACCTCATAACATTTACCTTTTAAAGACTATCACCAAATAAGCCATATTGTAGGTTATTGCTTCAACAAGTGAATTTGGGGAACAACACAGCGCATAACACTCAGTCCTTTACTCTTCCTCCCCAATTCACATTCTCCTCACATACAAACTACATTCACCCCATCCCAAAAGCCTCAAAAATCTCAACACATTCCAGTATCAACTGTGTGTCCAGAATCTCATCTAAATCAAGCATGGGTGAGACTAGAGATGCATTCTATCCTTAAGCAGAATTCCTCTTCAGCTATGAACCTATAAACTAGACAAGTTATCTGGTTCCAAAATACAGTGGTGGGGCAGGCCTAGAATTCCCATTGTCATTCCAAAAATGGAGAGAAGAAAGGATCAATGGTCCCAAGCAAGTCTAAAACCTAGCAAGGCAGATTCTGTTATGTTTAAAGTTCAAGGACAATCTTTGGTTGGATCCTTTGCTCTCTGATCTCACTTGGGTGGCATCGGCAGTGCCAGGCCCATTAAAAGCATGGAAGAGACATAGTGGCCCCCAGATTTTAATCTCTGGGCCCACTATGGGGCTACCAGCCATGTTCAACTCTGTTTTACCTTTGGGGTTATTCTCCTCTTCTTGATGGGTAACATGTTTGCAGTTGGGTAAATCTAGTCTACCTGTAGAATGCCTTCACTTTGTCCCATGTGTACCACAATTAGTACAACCGGCCGGAGTCTCTGCTGAGGTAGTTGATTGGTTCTAAACTAATCTCTTTATCAAATGGTTGTCTAGCCACACCATGGTGTTCTCTCCAGAACATGCATTCCTATTTTTTATTATATGGATAGGCTGAGAATTTTCCAAATCTTGAAGTCCTGGTTCATTTTTGTTTAACAGTTCCTTCAATTTACCCCTCTACCCTCACATTTTACTATGAGGATCGTGAAACCAGGCTGCTCCTTCAGCACCCTGTTCAGTAAATATTAGTCACTTTTATCCTCTGGATACCCAAAATTTATGTGGCCAGATGTGAACTCCTGCCATAAAAACATGTCCTGACCTTTCCTTCCCATTACCCATGAATGTGAAGATGGCAGAAACCACGAGGAAATGTTCTGCTCTACTGAAATGGAATGGAGGAAAAACAATGTCGCTTTCTTTCAGTGTTCAGGAGAGTTTGTTTATGGTTTGGTTTGTGAGCAGCAGTCCTCCATATTATATTTCCTTTTATTTTAATAAACTGCTTCTTTACAGATCTGCACACCTGGTTGTGTACCTCATTTTGTCAAGAACCTCCTGGGAGATATGGGGGAATCACTCTGTATTTGTTCTGGACTCTGGTCCTATTAAAGGGAGAGAAATATTATAATGGTCTTCATCCGCACCCCTTCCTAAATCCTGTAACAGACATATGAGATCCCCAAGCCACACACTCAGCCTCCCCAACAACAGACCGAAAGGTATCTATTCATACCCATCCTTGCAGCCTGAGACCCCTTCCTGTTAGCTGTGACTGCATGCCAGTGATTGAGCCCAAGGACTGAGGGCTTTCAGCCACAACCCTCCCCACTCTAAAGGGTCTAGAGTGTACACCTTTATATCTAGGGAAGGCACTGCCTCTTCAGCCACTGTGTCTTGTGCTCCCCAATACCCAGAGCCTAACAAGTGCCCAACCCAGGACTAGCAATGTCCCCTTGTCTTGGGCACTGAGTGATCATTACAAGGTAATTCTCCCCAGGCCCAGCTGCTTTCCTGGTTTAAAATCCAGAGATAATAAAAGATTATTGATACAGTTTAATACAAAAACAATAGTTTTCATCGCAAAAATACTATAAATAACATCAAAAGACTGCAAGAGAAATATACCACATAAATCAACATACTTCACAGATAAAGGGTTACTATCTGCACTTTATAGGAACTTTTACAAATCAAGGGAAAAGACCAGAAGTTTTAGAAAATTGTACAAGAAATATGCTCAGTTTACCAAAAGAAATATAAACAGATTAAAAGATGTTCAACTTCACTCATGATAAGGAAAACACAAATTACAACTTCACTGAGTTACCATTTCCCATTCATCAGTGTGGCAAAAATTCAATAGCTTGACAGTACTCTATTGGTGGGGCTGTGAGGAAATGCATTTTTATACATTGATGCTGGGAATCCAGAATGGTAAAGCCTTCCAGAGGGCATTTTGGCAATATGTAAACTATACATGTAACTACTGACACAGCAAGCACATTGTCTAAGAATCTCTCCTGAAGTGTCACTTGCAATTTTATGAATATACACATGCACATGATTATTTTTCATTGCGTTATTCACAATTCCAAATGTTGAATGTTTAAGCATAGTAAATTGTATAAAGTGGATCATACACACAGTGGAGTACAATGCAGCTGAGAAAAACACTGAGGAAAAATATACTAGTGAAACCTTACAGAGGAAGTGTTCTTAAATTAAAAGGGCCAAGTGCCATAAACATACATAGTTTTTTTAAGAAAGAAGGGAGTCCTGGCCAGTTTGGCTCAGTGGTTAGAGTGCCGGCCCGTGGTCCAGAGAGACCTGGGTTTGATTCCCACTAAGAGCACATACCTCCATTGCAGTTTGTCCCCAGCCCCAGTTGGGGTCGTGTGGGTGGCAACCACTTGATGTCTCTTTCACAACGATATTTCTCTCTCCCTCCCTCCCACTCTGTCTGAAGATAAATGCAAAAATGTCCTCGGGTGAGGATAAAAAAAAAAAAAGAAAGAAAGAAACAAGGGAATATAATGAACATAGTATTTTACTATATATCCTCAGTCTTGGACAGAGTTTAATTTTACATCTCTGTGTTAGAATTACAAACACATTCTAAGCTCTTTAGTGTGTGTTTCTTATAGCAGTGTGGTGAAACAATTCTGAAATGATTTTGGATGCATTATAGAATTGAAAAAATGCCGATGTTAGGAGCCAGGGTTCTCACCATAGAAGGAAAGCCATCCAAATGTAGAATGGGACCAGGCAAGGAAGAACCCTGTGAGGATTTACTGGTGTGAATTTAAGATTCTTTTTTAAAAAAAATTAATTTATTTTTGTTACAGATGTTTCTCCTTTTTCCCACACTGATTCCCCCTTCTCCCTTCCTCCCCACCCTGTCCCCACCTTTGTTGTCCATGTCCATTGTTCATACATACATGCATATAAATTCTGTGGTTTATCTCCCCCCATCCCCTCTTCAGGGGATTGTCAGTCTGTACCCCACTTCCACATCTCTGGGACTACCCCATTCCTCAGACTGTTATGTTCGTTATATTCCACAAATAAGTGAGATCATGTGATATTTGTCTTTCTCTGCTTAGCTTGTTTCACTTAGGATAATACTTTCCAGGTCCCTCCATGTAGTCTCAAAGGATAAGAGATCTTTTTTTCTTACAGCTGCATAGTACTCCATTGTGTACATGTACCACAGCTTTTTTATTCATTTGTCTACTGATGGACATTTGCTGTTTCCAGATCTTAGCTATTGTAAATAGTGCTGCTACAAACATGGGGGTACATATATTATTTCTAATTGGCGTTTCATGCTTCTTAGGGTATATTCCTACAAGTGGGATCACTGGGTCTAATCGCAGATCAATTTTTAATTTTTTGAGGTAACACCATGTTGCTTTCCATAGTGGCTGCACCAGTCTACATTCCCACCAGCAGTGTACTAGAGTCCCCTTTTCTCCACACCCTCACCAATACTTGTTGTTTAACGATTTGTTAATGGTGGCCATTCTGCCGGGTGTGAGGTGATACCTCATTGTTGTTTTAATTTGCATCTTTCTGATGACTAGTGATGTTCAGCATTTCTTCATATGTCTCTTAGCCATTTGTATGTCCTGTTTGGAGAGGTGTCTATTTAGTTCCTCTGCCCATTTTTTAATTGGGTTCTTTGTCTTCCTCTTGTTGAGTTGTATGAGCACTCTATATATATTAGAAATTAACCCCTTACCTGATATATCATTGGCAATTATGCTCTCCCATACAGTAGGGTGCCTTTCCATTTTGATGATTGTATTTTTTGCTGTGAATTTCAGATTCTTAAGAAATTTGTAAATGTGTGTCTGTATGTGTTTATATGCTCATGTATATTTGTGTGTATGTGTGTATACTTGTACATATTTTCTACTTCTTTCCGCTGGAAAAACCAAGAAGCAAGAACAATCCAGAAGCAGTGAGAATGTCTAGCATCCAGATATTAGCCCCTAACACCATTTTTCATTAGTGGAAACCCTGGCTTCTTGGATTAATGGCTGCTTCCAGGGTTAGGGCAGGGTAGTTATGAGATGATCCCCAAACGTCTGGTAATTCCAGAGAGAAAGGAAACACTAAAACAAACAAACAAAAAACCAAAACCAAAACCAAAGCCATGATAGAGCATGACATTAAAATATAGGAGCCAGTCTGAAGGGATTCCCACTCACTGGCCACATTTGGGACAATTTAAGCACAAACTATTTGAGTTCACGGAGTTATACTCTATTGGGGAAAAAGGAGAAACGAATGAGTTTATTAACAACATGTATAAATAAATGAAGTCTGCTGCTTATAGTACAATGCCAACAGCAGATGGTAACTTGGCTTTTTATTTCTAAAATTAACATCTTACGTAATTACAGTACATTCATTAAAGTTAAAGAATTAACATTGTGA